ACATGTTCCTCTATGAACTTTGAGAAACAATGATACTTATAGGAAGGCGTCAGGTCTTTTGCTCCTAGGGTCACCATGAGTCAATGACTCATATGGCTTGACTCAATGGCAATCAGCAGCATCAACAACAACAACAACAACACATATTCTAAAGAACACATTCTTGAATTAAAGTATGTTATGTATTCTTGTAACAAACTATGGCTGACTCTGAGAAGAATGGGAATCCCAGAACACTTGATCGTTCTAATGCGAAACTTATGCTTGGACCAGGAGGCAGTCATCAGAACAGAGCAAGGGAACACTGATGGTTCAAAATTGGGAAGGGCGTACGCCAGGGATGCATCCTATCTCCATACCTTTTCAACCTATATGCAGAACAGATTATCCAGGAGGCTGGGCTCTATGAGGAGAAATGTGGGGTCAAGATTGGTGGACGATTTATCAACAATCTGCGTTATGCAGATGACACAACTCTGCTTGCTGAAACTGAAGAGGACCTGAAGCGCCTGCTGCAGAGTGTCAAGGACTGCAGCCTCCAATATGGATTGAGACTCAATGTCAAGAAGACAAAGATTCTCACCATTGGACCAATTGGCAGCATCAGGATGGATGGTGAAGAGATTGAGATTGTACACAGCTTTAGTTTGCTTGGCTCCACAGTCAACAGTCTTGGCACCAGCAGCCAGGAAATTAAAAGGCGCATTGCCATGGGAAAGTCTGCTGTTAGGGACCTCTCCAAAGTACTGAAGAGCAATGGTGTCTCTCTGGAGACTAAGGTGAGTCTGATACAGGCTATGGTCTTCACAATCACTTGTTATGCATCAGAGAGTTGGACAATGACCAAGGAGGATAGAAGGAGAATTGATGCCTTTGAGCTGTGGTGCTGGAGAAGAGTATTTAGAATACCATGGACTGCTAGGAAAACAAACAGATTTGTCCTGGAAAGGGTTAAACCGTGTGGCTCCTTGGAGGCAAGGATTCTGAGGCTCCGGCTAACATACTTTGGACATGTAGTGAGGAGAGACCGGTCCCTGGAGAGGGACATCATGCTTGGGAGGGTGGAGGGACAACGCAGGAGAGGAAGGCCCTCTATGAGGTGGATTGATTCAGTGACTGGGATAATTGGGATGGGAGTGTCAGAGACAGTGCGATTGGCATAGGACAGTGCGGAGTTAAGGGCTGCTGTACATAGGGTCGCTATGAGTCGGAAGTGACTTGACGGCACATAACAACAACAATAAAACAACAACATGTATTCTTGAATTTTTAACTGTAATCATATGAAAAAAGCCAAGTCAAATTTCTTCAAACACACATCAGAGTCAGACATCAGTGATCCAATTACGAGTGGGTAATATTTTCTAGAAGCCACAATAGGATTGCAAAGTAATAAAACATACGGGAATATGATTCTTTTGCTTTCAGATGTGTCAAAGACAAGATTACTACGGCAGGAAAAGGGTTGGATTTATTGGTTAATGACATGAAACTACTGGGATACATGAAAGACAGCCTTCAAAGAACATTTTCATAGACAATTAACATCGAGTAACTGAGATGATAGCTGTTGATTAGTAATGGGAGACATTTTAAGCAGAAGGGTGGAGGGAAAGAAAAAGAATGCAAAGCCTCAGGAAAGGAAGAAAGGATGGAGAAGACTGTATAAGTCAAAGCTAGGAGAAGTGGGAGTAAATGGACCTGCACAAAAACAGCTCATTCATCCCACAGAGGAAACCGGAACCTATGAGGCAGAGGAAAACTACCAGAACTGAAGAATGACAATGAAAAAGGAAAGGACTGTGTTGGAAAAATAATTCAGGGTTTAGAAGTACGATGAAAAGCAGGAGAGTTTATATAGAAAAATAAAGGAAACAGGAGCACAGATTTTAAGCCCCCCACTTGGCGTATCCCTGGAGGACTGTGTTGATGTTAGGTGCCTTTTAGTCAGTTCCAACTCACTGGAACCCCATGGGACTCAGTGGACCCGCCCGGGGGTTTTCTAGATGTAATCTTTACAGGTGCAGACGGCTAAGCCATGGGAATCCCAGGGCTCTCATTCCCCTCCGCTTCCCACTGCAGGTGTCTAGTCAACCACAGCACTGTGCTCCTCCAGGTCCAGAATCGGCTTCAGACTCCTTATCATCGCAGCGGCCCCTATGAGCCACTACTGATTGACTGAGGAGACTGTGGCCGTGAAACTCACGTTCTTGATGTACTTACAATCCAATTTCCGGTAGCATTTTGGTGCTACCTACTCATTGAAGAGAATTGAAAACTATGTATATTCCTGGTTAGAAAATCAAAACACTTCAGAGTGAGATATCTATGTGTGTGGATATAACCACACACAGGAGTATGTATACATATGGAGCATAAGCATTTCAAGTAGGTAGGTTCATGCATGCATAATTTCTTTTTTAATCTGACACTCTGCTTTACACAGATACAGGCTCATGAAAATCAACTCAGGATTTACCCTGGCAATTGAAACCATAAAATACCATAAATAATATAAATTGTGTTTTGAGTTAAAATGTTGTTTATGTGCCGTTGAGTCGCTTGCGACTCATATTGACCCTTTGTACAACAGCCCTAACTCTGCTCTGTCCTGTGCCAACCACACTGTCTCTGACACTCCCATCCCAATTACCCCAGTCACTGAATCAATCCACCTCATAGAGGGCCTTCCTCTCCTGCGCTGTCCCTCCACCCTCGCAAGCATGATGTCCTTCTCCAAGGACCGGTTTCTCCTCACTACATGTCCAAAGTATGTTAGATGGAGCTAAGAATCCTTGCCTCCAAGGAGCCGCCCAGTTTAACCCTTTCCAGGATGAATCTGTTTGTTTTCCTAGCAGTCCAAGGTACCCTCAATACTCACCTAACTCATTTGAATAATCAGAGCTTTCTCCTCTCTTGTTGACATTACATTGGATGTGTCATCTTAAATATTAGGCAGAAACATCACATAGGCTCTTCTAATCCCATAGATCACACACCTTAACAAAGATCACACACCTTAACAAAACAAGAAACCTGGTGGTGTTGAGTTGATTTCCAATGCATAGCGACCCTACTGACCAGAGAAGAACCACTCCATAGGGTTTCAAAGACTGTGATTTTTACTGGAGCAAATTGTCTTATCTCTCTTACATGGTACAGCGAGTTGGTAGATTTGAACTAACCATCCAATGTACATAATCCACTAGGTCACTATGTGTTATTATTTGATAAGGACATACAGAGAGTATAATCTAACATAATAACATTAACTAATTATCAGACCATGATCATCGGTAGGAAACAATTGAAATTAAAATGGAATTGCACTGATTGCCAGATTCATAAGGGGGAAAAAGTTTTTAAAAAGAGAGTGAGACTGTTGTTTGACAAGCTGCACTGGGTTGTTCCATTACTTGCTGCACCTACTCATTAATTTCACCCCACTTCTGAGCATCAGAGGCCTTTGCCTATTCATGTAAGAACCACTTGAAGGCAGAAAACGTCCTCCGATTTTCTCTCTAGTCCAGGAAACATTCAGTGCTTTCTTTGAACTATTTTGTTTGAACATCCTGGTACGTTATTCATGTTCTGCCAAACAGTTCATAATGCTCTGGGGGAGGAGAGGCTGCGGCTACGGCTTATCCTTTATACGACTCTCTTATGAATTAACAACAACAACAAAAAGATGCTCATTAGTCTAGGCTGGCTTAACAAGAGAGAAAAGGAAGGGAACGGGGCCTGGGGTAGGGAGGGAAGAGAGCAAGTCATCTTTCAAGAATATTTGAAGCCTGAGAGGCCACTGACTCAGATGAATGAACCGTCATCTCTCCCGTAGAACATGGCAAGAGACTCTAGCCGGTCCCCCTCCAATGCAAACAGTGATCTTTTCAAAACATGCATGTAACCATGCTTCCTCATACTTTCCTCCCCAGGGTCTTACAAGGGTCTGTAAGGTCTAGGCCCTGGAAGCTTATGTCACCACTGTCCTATTGTCCTCTGTGTGCCAGTTATTCTTTCAAGTGGCCTTCCTCCAATACCCTGCGGCCCTTGTTTTTCCCAGCTGCTTTGCAGAAGCAGTTTGCTGGGCATAAAAATCTCTGCTCTCATAACCTTGATAGCCTTTACTCAGCTTTCAGGATCTCAGGTCAAGTGCCCTGAAGTGGAAGGAAGGGGTATTGTGGATTCTGACTCCACAAACTAGTTCAAATCCCCCTGTAATCTACTCTCAAAGCACTCTTTCCTTCTACACATTTCAAACCTTTGGTAACAATATATTTATGTGGTGATTTAACTATGAGATGTCTCACTAAACTGTAGGAGTGGAAGAACCACAGTAAGGTTCACTTTCTTTTCCACTAAGCCAGAGCAATTGGCACACACACATACATATACACGCAAACAGCGAATGTAATGAATAGGTGTTGATTTGATAAATTAATACATTGGGTTCAATGAGATATACTGCTTCCATGATATATTTATAATGGTTGTATATAGAAAAACATTTTGAAGAATTTGTAAAAGGTGGCCTACTGGCAAGAAGCTGCACTCCAATCCCAAACGAATGTGGTTCAATGCCACCAGCTGTTCTGTGGGAGGAGGATGGGCAATCTCCTCCCATGCAATTAACTGCCTCTGAAAACCCGTCAGAGGGTCAGTTATGGGTTGGTTCCAACTCTACGTTTCACAACCACCACCATCAAATATTATTTGGAAAATTAAAAATATTTATACAAAACTCTTCTCTACATCATAATTCAGGATGGAAGCTGTAAGTAAACTCTCTAGGGTGAATACTTAAAGCATCCAGAATGAAGTCTGCTTCTTGAATGTCCTTTGGTTTTCTGTTTTGAAGGAACTGGAATTCTTGTCAAGCTGACAATAAAAATGTAATGAACCCACCCTTTTCGAAATTAACAAATCCTTTCCCTTGGACTTGGCCTCAAGGAAGCCAATGAGAACAGTATCTAGCAGATGAACCGGGAGGTATAGCTTACGTAGGCTTGGAGGCTTCAGCCTGGTCAGTCTGCAGCTTCTCTCCTCCTTCCACCTCCATCGTGCAGTACACAATGCGGTTTGGAGCTAAGGATTTGAGGCCTTGTACTTCCATAATCACCACCTGGAAACAGAGTCACACACAGTAGAAGTTATTGCCAAAACCCAATCGCAGTGTCACCCATAGGGGAAAACAGAGAAGAGAAGTTATAGAAAAGCCAACATGTTTCTTGTAAGTTCTATCTGGTTTGTACTGATCACACTGGAGCCAGTCTTATACAAAGATGTAATTTCTCACAGTGTCGCTCATTGCCTCTCCAACAGAAAGACAAGACTTTGAAATTCAGATGTTCACAGAGATCAGAAAGAGGAAACAAATAAGATCACTTTTCAATTTCATAAAGTAATAGGCTTTCCTTTAAAATAGTCTAGTTTTTTAGTCAACATTTCGAAGGGACGTGGCACAAGAGAAAAGAAACCCTTTTTCCTTAATAATAAGTCCAGTGCCAATGCCAGATAAAGGGTAAGTAAATTCAACATGAAGGCAGAGATTGCACTAGGGGATGGAGCGGGCTGCGGCACTCCAAGAGCACACGCTTCGTGTAGAGAAAGGGTTACTAATCAGCTGTTGCCGTTTGTTCCCCCCAGGAGAAGATTTAAACCTAAATCGTAATGAAAACCAGAAATCTCATTTCGAAATGTTCACAATGAATAATGGATAAAATATACCAATCTTGTACAGGTCAATGTTATTGTATAAAAAAACAAAACGAGTCTTCACTAGAATACCCTCTGGTCTAGACTTAGGGAAAGGCCAGCTCATGACAGAACAAAATATCTTATTTACATGCCTGGAATTTCTCACTGTTACCCTCAACTTCTCACATTGCCCTTGTTATCCTGTGACACTGAGTCACTACAATGCACAGCAACCCTATAAACAAAGGCTCTGACCCTTTCCCTATCTTGAGTTAATCTCACCATGTCTGACACACAGCGTCCCGTTGCCAGTCAATGTGTCAATCCCTCTATCAAGGGTCTTCTCCTCCTGCACTGACCCACTACCCACCAATTATGATGTCCTCCAAGAACTGGCCCCTCCTCACAATATGTTCAAAGTCTGTGAGATGGAGCTTCACAATCCTTGCCTTCAAGGAACACTTAGGCTTCCCTCTCTCCAAGACAGACTGTTCTCTTGGTAGTTTAGGGTATGCTCAATAATCTTTGTCAACACCACAACTCAAAGGCATCAATTCTTCCTCTGTCATCCTTATTCATTGTCCAGCTCTTAGATGCACAGCAAGTGAGAAGATCATTGCCAGGATCAGGTATATCTTAGTACCTAAACTGATATAGTTGCTCTTTAGCAAATCTGGAAAGGTTCTTGACAGATTTTCCCAATGCATCTCATCATCGGATTTCCTGACTGCTGATGCCAAGGGTGTTGATTGTGGATCTGAGTAAGATGAAATCATTAACTACCTCAATCATTTTTCCAGCTATCATGATACTGTCTATTGTCCTAGTTGTTGTGTTGTTAAGCGCAGTTGAGTCATAGGCAACTCACAGCGACCCTATGAATGACAGTCCTTGACACTTGCTTGACTTTCATCCTTTCTCCAGGTTCGTAGGGTTTCCGGAGGCAAACTATTTATGGAAGTGGATGCCACCCCTGCTTCCTAGTAGTGAAGATATATTTTTCTCTATGTTCAGATGCATTCCATACTGAAGGCTGCAGTCCTTCCTTGACCTTCTGCAGCAAGTACTTCTCACTTTCAGCAAGCAAGACTGTGTCATCTGAATAACAGGTTACAGATGAGTTTTCCTTCAACTCTAATGCCATATTCTCCTTCATAAAGCCCAACTTCCTGAATTATCTGGTCTGCATACAGCTTGAAAAGGTATGGAGAAAGGATACATCCCTGATGCACTTCTTTCTTGATTTTAAACCACACAGTGTTCCTTTCCTTTGTTTGAACAACAGTTTCTTCGTCTATGTATAGTTTTCATATGAGCACAATCAAGTGTTCTGGGATTCCCATTCTTCTCAACGTTAGCTACAATTTGTTGGGATTCACACAGTCAAATGCCTTTGCATAGTTGATGAAACATAGATAGACATCCTTCTGTTACTTTGCTTTCAGCCAGGATTCATCTGACATCAGTAGCGCTATCCTTACTGCTGCAGCCTCTTCTAAATCCAACTTACATTTCTTGTAGTTCTTCGTCATTGTGCTGTTTTAGTCATTTTTGGACAATCTCCTTCAAGACTTTTCTTGTGTGTGATATTGTTCAATAATCTCCACATTTTGTTGGATCACAGTTTTTGGAAATGGGAATAAATATGGATCTCTCCCAGTCAGTTGGCCAGGTAGCTGTCCTCCAGATTTCTTGGCACAAGCTAGTGAGCATATCCAGGGCTGCTTCTGTTTGTTGAAATATGTCAAGTGTTATTCCATCCATACCCAGGGTCTTAGTTTTTGCCAGTTCCTTCAGAGCAGCTTGAACTTCCTTTGTTATCACTGGTTCTAGATCATATGATACTTCCTGAAATGGTTCTGTGTCAGCCAATTCTTTTTGGTACAGTGACTCTGTGTATTCCTTTCATTTTCTTTTCATGCTTCCTAGACTATTCAATATTTTGTCCATAGAATCTTCTCAGGACATGCTGAACAAGTTCTTCCCTTTGATGATCTAACCCAGCTCTTTACACATTTTGTTATAATACCCCCTATGTTGTTGTTGTTGGCACCACAGAGTCAGAACCAACCCATCACTGACCCTCAGGTGGGTCAGGGGAAGTTAATAGCACAGGAGGAGATTGTCCATCCTTCTCCCACGGAGCAGTTGCTGACCTCGAACCATGTGCCTTTGAGATTGTAGTACAGTTTCTTGCCTCTAGGCCACAAGTACTCCCCATAATCACCTATAATCCTAATCAACAATGCTCTATCACTGAGAAAAGTACAGAGGAAAGATTGATGATTAAAATATAAATCAAATGTCATATCAGAGGTCTGTAAAGTAAAAGGTATATTATTTTAAATCATTCAGTTATACTCTAAAAAAAAAGTAATGTAAATACACAAGAAGAAGAATGTGACTTGATTCAAGGAAGTATGAGTAGTACTGAACCAAGATTCAAATATTGGTTTTGTTATTGAAATATTCTGTGGTCCTCAAACTTCATTGTGAATCAGTGTCCCATAATCTATTTGTTAAAACAAGACTTCTGGTCTCTACTTACAGAGTCTCTGATTCAATAGGCTGGGAAGTTTGGGATTCTAGCATTTTGCTAGTCTGAGAACCACACTTTGAGAACTGTTGTTGTTGTCGTTGTCAGGTACTGTCAAGTTTAGTAGGACTCCCGGTGACCCTAAGAACAACAGACCTGGACCGTGTTCTGTCCTGTGCCATACTCATCCACTCTGACACACTTGAGCCCACTGCTGCAGTCACTGTGTCAGTTCAACTCGTTGATGGTCTTCATCTCCTTCCCTGACCCTCCATCTTTCCAAGAATGATGTCCTCCAAGGAATAGTTCCTCCTAGCAACATGCCTTACATATGTGAGGCAAAGCTTTGCCATATTTGCCTCCAAGAAGCATTCTGGATGCACTTTAACTAACACATATCTATTTGTTCTTTGGGTAGTCCATGGGATATTCAATACTCTTCTCTAACACTCAAAGGCATCAATTCTTCTTTTGTCATCCTTATTCATTGTTCAACTCTCAGATGCATAGCAAGAAATGGAAAAGAACTTGCCTGAATCAGGCATGTCTTAGACTTCAAATGGACATAATTGCTCCTCAATAATTTAAAGAAGTCCCTGGCAGCTGACTTGTCCAGAACAATACATCTCTTGATATCCTGAGTGCTAGTATCAAGGGTGTTGATAGCAGATCCCAGTAAAATGGAATCTACAATAGTTTCAATCTTTTCTTCATATCAGGACATTTCTTATTAACCTAGTGGTATCTTCTTGATATTGAGATTCAATACATATTGATGGCTATACTAGGACTCAAAGTACTAGTACTCAAAGTAGTCATGTGGTGTTGTACAAAGACCTTGCCTTTCAAACCACTTTTTTTCTTTCCAATCTCTTGAGCCTCAATACTGTTACCTGTAAACTGGGGGAACGATATGTGTCCCCCAATTTTGAAAGAATCAAATGAGACAATGTATGTTGTTGCAATGTACCACTGACCTACAACTAACCCATAGCTGACCCTCCAGGAGGTTTTCAGAGGCAGTTAGTTGCACAGGAGGGGACTGCCCAGCTTTCTGCCATGCAACAGCAGGTAGATTCGAACCACATACCTTTGCATTGGCAGCCCAATTGCTTATCATTAAGTCACTAGAGCTCCCTAGACAATATATACAATATGAGATTTTTCCACTGGAAAGAATCACAGAAATAGGAAGTAGACTAGAAAGAGCACAGGTTTTGGTCTTTCAAAGATCTGAATTCAAATTTGCATCTTCACTAATTATGAAATCTGTGCATGTTTCCTGCCCTCTTCAAGGCTTTTTTCCTGTATCTGCAAAAGCTTAGAAATATTGTTAGGAGGACTTTTGCTGAGTTAATATCTGCAAACATCCAATACATGGTTGTTATTGTTGTGTTGTGGTTAGGTGTCATCGAGTTGCCCAAGACTTTTAACAACCCCAAGAATAACAGGCCTCAACCTTGACTTATCCTGTGCCATTCTAAAGGTCTCTGATCTGCTTGGCCTCACTGTTAGAGTCCCGGGGTCAGTCCATCTTGTTGATGGTCTTCCTCTCTTCTTCTGAGCCACCATCTTCCCAGTATGCTGCCATTTTCCAAGGACTGGCCCTTCCTTACAACATGCCCAAATTCAGGGAGATGACGTTTCACCATCCTTGGCTCTAAGGAAAGCCCACGTTTTACTTTCTCTAAGACAGACTTATTTGTTCTTCTGGCAGGCTGTGAGACACAAGGCGGCATTCTAAAGATGCCCACTGCTTTCTCCAGAGGACTCCCCCACTCCTTGCCCAAGTTCATGCCTCTAGGTTGTCTCAGCTCCCCTCATGCTGAGTTAACTGTTCCCCAGTGTCCCTTCTAGCTACACAATTCTACAATTTACATAAACTATGCCTTGCACCAACCTGCACATTCAAATCCCAGACTGCCTGGATGAGGTGGCAACCCTCTCTCTCCTTCTCCAAACACATTCACAAATAGATGCACAATGACTTTTGCTGGCAGGTTTAGTATGATGTGCAATTTGGTGTTCTTCCAATTAAGAAGTATTAGAGGACCCTAGGGCATTACATTAGGTACTTGTGCTCAGAAGTTAAAGTCTGTTTGAATCATGTACACAGGAGAGTGTGGCTGGATTCATCCATGTTTATATTTCAGATAATCAGCTGCATAATATTGAGTACTGGTAAAGAATTAGAAAATTACAGATTTAAAAGCTTTGTGAAAAAAAATCAATAAACCACTTTCTCCCTTTTCTGTGGGAAGATAAGAGGCAGTAGGGAATAAATTGCCACCTCTAATTGGCAATAATCAAATTCAAAGACACCTAAGAAAAAGCATTCAATACATCAGCTGGCAGGAGTAAAAAAAAAGTTTCTGTGAAACTACACGGATGATTTTTCACACACCAAGTGCTTTATATTTAATTGAATTCTGTCTCTTTTGCAAAATACATGTTTAAAACACTGTAATGTGACTATCTGGATCTGAACTCAGCACAGGAAAACAAATTACCAGCAGTTAATTGACAGACAGCCATAATGGGGTTAGAGAACATTCATTAATCTCTACAAATTTTTATTAAATTGGAAGAAATATGATCTATTGTCTTCACTGGGTCTTGCCAAACACAGGGTCATAATAAAATTCTTCGTGTAATTCTGAATTTTACTAAGTTATTAGTGGTTCTCAAACTTTAGAATGCCTTAGAAATAGCAGGTTAACTCACAAAAATGCTGACTAAAATGCTTATATACTGTTTCCCACCCCTGACAATTTTGCTGAGTCATATTTTAAACATCATAGAATTAAACCATTTCATGTGTGCAACTTAACAGACATGGTAAATTTACCAAGTTGCGTAACTATCAACAAAAATTAGTGTTAGAATATTTTAAACTCCTTCAATAAGGCCTCTTATGGGATTGGTGCATAATAGAAGCACTGATCTACTTTCCGATGCTGTTGATTTGCCTCGTCTGGGCACTTCATAGAAATGGAATCACACAGCCTTGCCTTTAAGGGGTGTACTGTTTGAACTTCATCCAAAACAAATTTGTTTACAGAGCACTTAGTATGGAAGTATAATTCAGTATATGTGGTCTTGTGGGTCTGAAGTCATTCACTGACCACCGTGTCATCCAGGTTTGGCCATGCCACAGGATGTTAGTATTTTGTTCCTTTTTGTTACTTTATAGTATTTTGCTCTATGAATTTACTATATTCTGTTTATCCATTTACAAACTGATGGACATTTAGGTTGTTTCTGAATTTTTATGATTATGAATCATAGTATGATTATGAAGCTGAGGGCAATGATGGCTTGGCGGTAGTGGACTCAAACCTTTCATGCTGGAGAGCTTGGGTTAATTCTGACAGTGTGCACAATGCATGCATAGGCTCCTCCCATTTGTCCAGAAAGGCCTTGTGTTGCTGCAATGCTGACCACGTTAGAGTGTTGAGACTAACACAGGCTAGAAAAAAAAATCCTTGGCAATCTTCCTATGAAAACTATACAGACCATAATGATCTGGTCTGCAACTAGTCATGGTTATGGTATGGAGCTGGGCAGCGCTTTTGTTCCTCTGGGCATGGAGTTTCCTTGAGTTGGGGTCTGACTTGATAGCTGCTAAGAGCAACAACATGAATAATGCTGTCGAGAGCATTTGCCAGCAGTTCTTAGTGTGGGCATATGCTTTTGTTTCTCACAGGCAGAGAAACACCTACCTAGTAGTTGAGATGCTGGCTCACATGAATGTTTGGCTCTTTGAGAAACTGTCAAACTATTTTCCAAAATGTCTGTCCCTGTTTATGTTCTCTGTCCCCAACCCTCCCAGTAGATATTCTGGTTCAGTAGGCCTTGGCTTGTACCCAGGAATCTGTAGACTTAACTAGCTTCTCAAAGAATTCTGATGTATGTAGATTAAAACCACAGCCTCAGGGTATGTTCATAAGAACCATACACGTGAGTAGATGCTCTAGCGAAATCCACTGACTTCTTGAGTATTTTGCTACGATATTGGCTCACATGAGTCTTACTTTGGGTGCTAAGATGAACTAAACAAAAGCTTATCTAACACAACAAAAAGACTCTCTACTAGAGAGATAGATTTTTCTCTCTCATCTATCTCTTATCAAGATAGGTGAGAGAGAAAATGTCTAATTAGCTACAAAAATGAGGCTATATAGCTTCTATCACACTGGCAAACAAACTGCCAAAATTCAACCCCTCTCAATTGCACAACACCTTTAAAAAAATCCTGAATACAGCTGTAAGGCAGAGAAAAGTACAACCACTATGGGAATACAAGATTAAATTTAGTAAGTAGTTCTTAAGATTTCATTTCCTTAAGAAATTTCTGGGTTTCTGGAGATGGGGACTCACTCGCTGATTAGCTGACCTATGTTTAGCAAGCTGTTACTTTAATAACTGCTCCTGGGGCTCAAGAAGGGAACCAGCTGATTGTGATGCATCTGATCACCCAGGTTCCGCCTGCTGTGCTAAGAAGCTTTCAAGGGTTCAGGGCTTTTTACCTCCAAGGAGAAAGACAGCACAACGTCTGACTTGGAGAGCTGGTTCTCACTCTCCTCGCCCATGTCGATGATGGATGCGTTGTGACTGCGTTTGAGCTTCTGAAGCTTGAACTCGCCGCCTTTGGACACCGGCATGCTCTCCAAGTTGGCCATGAGCAGGTTGACGGATGACTTCAGCTCCTCAATGTACATGTTTTCCATCTCTTTGGATACGAATTTGGGAAATTTGCGTTCCTTGCAAAGGAAAAGAGAAGTATGAGCAGAGGCGTAAACAGGCATGTGATGTATATAGATTCTATCTTACAACCCAGAGTTATTCTAGCATCTATCAGATGTCTGAGGTTGTAAAAATGGTTTGCATTCAACTACTAACTTAAAGATTGATGGTTCAAATTTACCCAGAGGTCCTGAAGAAGAAAGGGCTGGCAGTCTGCTTTGGTAGCAAGTCAAGCAAGTACAATTACAGCCAAGAAGAAACCTGTGAAGTGTTTCTACTCTAGCTAATATACGATCATCATGAGGTAAAACCAACTCCACACAACAGAAAGTTGTGGTTTTTTTTTTATTACTGGGGCATTGTGCTAGAAAAAATACTTACCCTTGTTGAGTAGACAGTTGTCTGCCTTCTAATAGAATACACACACACACACACACACACACACACACACACACACACACAAAGTCAAATGTTTTATTTACAGTTCTATATTTCTGGCATTTTCCACCAGAAAATTTGATTTGTGGAGAGAAAAATGAAGTGATATTTTTCAAACCTGTTTTCAGAGCAAACAGTTTGTTTCTGTTGACAAAATGCAGTGGGCTGTTTTAAAATTATGGAAACAGAAAGACACCCTATTTCTGGATATCTATACAGGATTTTTCCTCACATGAATAATTCAAAAGCGAGTACTTTTGAGAGGTTTCAAACACAGCCTATGGCTATTTCTAAGAATAGTTACTATTTTCAAGAAAATGGAAAAAATTAATGAAGTGATAAAAATGTGATTCAAATTCTTTTGAGAAGGAGATAAAGCAATTTAGTTTCAGTATTGACCTCTAGTTTTCTTTTCCTTGCTTACAAACTCAGTTGTTGCTGCAACATGCTCTCGCAATAGCATTTATTTCTGCAGATCTTTAACTTATCCACATACCTTGAATAACTTTGACTTATCCTCCTCTCAAAAAAATAATTTCCCACAAACAACAAATGCTAGAGAGGCTGTGGAGAGATTGGAACCCTGATTCATGGCTGGTGGGGGTATGAAATGGTTCAACCTCTATGGAAAGTGGTTTGGTGCTTTCTCAAAAAGTTGGAAATAGAAATATCATTTGACCTAGCAACTGCACTGCTGAGAATACACCCTAAGGAAACCAGAACCGCCATCCAGACAGATGTATGCACACCCATGTTTGTTGCGGAATTATTCACACTAACAAAGAGATGGAAACAACCCAAATCCCAACAACAACAACAAAGTGGAAAAACTCTGGTAAATTCACCCAATGGAATACTATGCAGCACTGAAAAAAGAATGAACTCATAAAACATTACACATCATGCGGGTCCCTGGAGGACACAATGCTGAGTAAAAAATCTCAGTCTCAAAAAGAGAACTACCTCGGTTCTGACTCAACAGCAATGAGTTGATAACCTTGTTACATCTAGTTTTTGTGGTTTAGCTCAGTAAATGTCTGGTGACATTTGGGGCAGTCACGCTCTGCTTTCATTTTCTTCAAGATCTTAGCGTGTCTGATTATTGCCAGGGCATATTAACTCTGTTTGGACTGTAAAAGAAACCTTTTACCTTCACTCTCCACCCTCCCCCCCCAACCCCAGGGGGCTGCTTGTGCCAATGGAAACACACACAAACACGCACGCACTCACACACGTCTAGACAGATGTGCGGGGAAGAATAAATACATCTGGATGCGACCTGGTCGAATTGCTTTACAAAGAGCCTTTTTTGCTGGACATTTACACAATTCCAAACCAAAGCTACAACTGCATGTATTTAGCCACGCTGATAGATTCAGTAATTTCCATCAAACCAACAGAAGGCCAAGAAGCAACAGTTTTGCAAAGCAATCCACCAATCCCAGTCTCTTCCTTTCTCTCTCATGGTGCGAGGGCTTGTCACGTGATGTCTTCTGTAGGGTTGGAAGGTAATGAAACTTAGTCATTTCCCTAAGTAACTGAGACGCAACGCCCTGGGTCTGTGCCTTGACCGTGGGCTCCAGAGCCAGTATGTGGCTTGGCAGAGTCCATGACCTATATTTCTACTGTATCCGAATGCAAAGTGGTCAGCTTTGCCTTCAACCAAATGTTGCCTCAGATAAATTTTATCCATGTGCTTCCGGGTAGGAAGACTGTTACTGCCTTAGTGGAAAATAATTGCTCAAGATATCTCCAAATAAACAATTGCTATATTTAAAAAAAAAAAAGAGAACTACCACATAACACCATTGTTATGATGCAAGATTGATACGGAGGGCTGGCAGGAGAATAGGGGAAAAGTGGATAGAAAATGAACACGGTATTAGAACAGATGAGGGAGAGAACTGTTTAAAAGGAATATATGACTAGGCATTATAAGAGAACATTAAGCAATATAAGAGGTATATTGCAAAGAGGACTGGGGAAGGGGAAAAGGAAGCGGGGGAAGGGAAGAAATTGTGCAACAATGAAAAATACTAAAAAACAAAAAGCAACGTGAACTGGGGTGAAGGCAGGGAAGGAGGAAAATGTGTAACAATAAATAAATGAAAATTCAATTTTTCTATAAACTTTTGCCAAAGTCACAATTAAAAAATTAAAAAAGAATCATTTCCCATTGAATTGTAACACTGTCCTCCCTGTCCTTGTCTGATGAGGGGTAGCGAAACCAATTTGATTTTTGTTGCAAGTAACAGAAAATTATAACTTAAAACAACAAAGGGAATTTATTTATTGAAATTATTCCAAGATAGATCTGTCTCCTTATCAGGCTAGGATTAGGAATGAGATTATGTTATGATTGAGTTTTCACTCCTAGTCAGAGTTCAGGTTTCTGAGGAATGACTTTTGGCTCTGCCTGGCTTCTCATAAAGTTATGAAAAGGCTGCTGAAGATCTAGACTTCATGTATATGTGTGTGTAAAAATTATTTAAAGGAACATAGGTATTTCCATGGAAGATAGTTTTTCATCCCAGACTTCTCACCCTAACTGTGAACAAAATGGCTTAGGACACAGACACACCCTGAACAAGTATCTGTGAACAGGACTATGCTTCGATGAATTGCTCAAGCATCAGTGATAGTCTCCATCCTTCCAGCGAAGAGTAGAAGTCGTGGGTTTTCAGTACCTGACTAAAAAAATTCCCTTATCTGGCCAATCAGATCCACATTCTCAAACAACTAAACACAGAGGCAGCGGGGCCACTGTAATCAGTTGGTGGAGTTAAATCTTTAAGATAATGTGGACTCAGAAACTGACGTCCTGTTGGATCTATGAAAAGAGAACAAGACACTTAAGAAAGAGGAGGAAGGAAAGATAGGCATGTTGCTAGGAGAGGCTATTCCTTGGTGAGGCACTTGGAAGGGTGCAGGGTCAGCTAAAGGGAGGAAGACTCTCAACCAGATGGGCTGACACAGTGACCACAGCAGTGGGCTCAAGTGTGTCCGAGATGATGAGGATGGCACAGGAGAGGACAGGATTCGCGTCTGTTGTGGACCACACCACTGGATTTGACTTTCTCCTGCGTGTGCACGTGCACGCACACACACAGGAACAAGGAGAGGAGGTAGGTCAGGTCCCAGAGCTATGAGCGTGGCTCTTGGTCGGTTTCCAGTCCCTGTAACCGGTATTCCTGTGGCTGCTCAGATGACATCGGCGAATGCAATCCGGTGTGTGCCAGGAGTAGAACTTTGCTCCACTGAGTTTTCAAAGGATGATTTTTTTTAAAGTAGATTTCCTGGCATTTCATGCATGGTGCCTCTGAATTTGTACTCCTTTAACATCTATGAAGCCTAGTTATTTTGTATTTGTGTTCTTTGATATTCTCATTTCTTTTTCCCTCCAGTAACTTCTTCTACCTTCCTATCTAGAAAAGTTGTTGGTTTTTGTTTGTTTGTTTTTTCTTGCACTAAGGAACTTTGACAGAGAATGAATCCTCAACATTCAGCTTGGGAATGCTTTCGTAGCCATGTTCTCCCTTCTTGGAGACAGCCAAACATATCTTTTTTTTGCCAACTCCTTGAGTGACTCACCGCCATTTTCTAAATTTCAGCTTCAGAATTTTGCTTTCCTTATTACACTCCGCTAGTGTGTTTGGGCTGAAACAGTGACTGGAATAATGGTCTCAAACATATGAGAAATGGTAAGAACAGCACAGGGAGGGCAAGGTTCAGCTCTGTTGTTCATGAGTCCTAGTTAACTGGATGGTCCCCACTTACAAAAATAGAGAATTTGCTCATAAGAAGTAGCTCAAGTTCTTTTAATGCTTGGTCATTATAACTAATGGATCAATTATGAAACTTTCTGTTCAATGTCTATATTTCCTACGGATTGGAAGAGAAGGGCCATATTTGTCTTGATACCCTTATTCAAACTCAGGTATTGTATTAACATATTATATAAAGGCATTCAATAAATATATATTAATTAATGGGTGGTTGTTGTTGTTATGTGCCATTAAGTCACCTGCGACTCATAGTGATCCTATGTACAGCCCTATACCCTGCTCTGTTCTGTGCCAGCTCCACTGTCTCCAACACACCCACCCCCATTATTCCAGTCACTGAATCAATCCACCTCATAGAGGGTCTTCCTCTCCTGCGCTATTTCCAAGCATGATGTCCCTCTGCAAGTACTGGTCTCTCCTTGCAACATGTCCAAAGTACGTCATATAAAGCTTCAGAATCCTTTCTTCCAGGGAGTAGCCTACTTTCACCCTCTCCAGGATGAATCTATTCGTTTTCTTAGTTATCCATGGTATATTCAATACTCTTCTCCAGCACCGCAGCTCAAAGGCATCAATTATCCTTCTATCATCCCTAGTCATTGTCTAGCTCTCTGATGCATAACAAGTGATTGCAAAGACCATGGCCTGTGTCAGGCACACCTT